CCTGGAGGACCCGAGGGGGTCGGTATTGTTACACTGTAACGAGTCTGATTAACATGCTCCTGACACTTTCTCTTCGTTTCTCGGGCTCCTAGCAACAGCGCACAAAGGCGCGGGATGGTCCGGGACTCCGCGGGGACACCGGGCCGCCTTTGATCTGCCAGCGTTACCGCGGGGCTGCGCGCCGGGCTCGCGGGCTCCGGGGCCCGCGGTGGGCACGGCCCCGGCCACCGGCTCCCCAGCTCCCCGGCCCGCACCCCTCGCTCCGGCGCCTGCGGGCGCCCCGCTCCCCGCGCTCCCGGGGCGCGGGCGGCGGCCGCAGATGCAGGTCCTTAGACCCGGCTCGCCGGGCCCTGCCCGTCGGAAGTAGCAACAGAACTTCCAATAGAAAAGAAAACTAAAAAAAACAAAAACAAAAAAACCCCACCTAAAATAAAGCTAGGGCGCGAGCAACACATTTAAAAAAGATTTCGCAAAATTAAAAAAAAAGAAAAAGAAGAAAAAAAAGATCCCGTGGACGTCAGCCCCCTGAGCTGAAACGGGGTTTGATCGGCACAAAAGGCGCTAACGAGGATGTCGGTCCCTTGCTTCGTGTCGCTGGCATTTCTCACGGATTCGGGAGGAACTATGCTGCCAAATGATTGCCGGGATGTCAATAAACTCCCAACAACAAAACCCGCCCGTCACAGAACGGCTCAAAGCCGCCGACCCCACCGCGCAATATTTGGGCACCAAGTTAAGTGTTGGAAAGGAATTTACTTTCCATTTTATGCGTCGCCTGAACCCCCCTCCTACGCCCACCCCGATTTAAAATAAAGCCGGAGAGAATAACTAAGGTTTTAACATTTAAATGTTGAATTCCACTGATTACGTTCCCCCTCAATCGCGTGTGAAAACCCCTGGGGGGGGGGGGTGTCCCGAGCCTGGAGCCCGCGCTCTGCTCCGCGGTGACCGCCGGGCTGGGGGCCCTCGCCGGTGTCAATGTGCACGAGATGCTGCTGATCATAGAGCCTCTTCTGTACCACCGATCGCTTGTCTTCCAAGAACTAGAGGTAAAAATATAATAAAAATGCAAGACATTTAGCTTTCCAAGATAAATGGAAACCATAAACGTAGAATGTTCTTCAAGTTAAAAAAAAAAAAGTGCGTATTCTTTTATTTCACTCCTTAAGATGTCGTTAGCGATTCAAAGTCCCCAAAGAAAATCCGTTTTTCCAGCCGGCAGAACGATTGGGGGCAAAGGTGTTAATGGTAATAATTGCGCGTGTATTTTAGTAAAGGGGGCAACAACCCTACATGGTCTTTTCCCATTTACCTAGCAAAATATGCCAGAAAACGAGTTCCTTTGAAATTCAAATCGGAGGTGGGAAAGTCTTTCGTTCTGGAGGACACTTTTCCCAGCCGGTCCCCAGGACCAGCCAGAAGGGCAGCCAGCGGTTGAACACTTTGCAAATCTGAAAGGACCAGCTCCCAGATGCCCGGGGAAACTTCCCAACTTGTGCTTCGGGACGCTGCCTGACTCCGCCAGAGTGTCCCTCGCCATTTCAATAAAACATGATTGTATTGATATAATCCTCTATACATTAAAATGAGGTTGTCACCAAGTGTCATTAAGACCACAGTAAAACAATGAAGACATTATTGGGCACCCCCCTCAGGCAAGGTATTAGGGGAATAAAACAATCTACACCACACGGGTCCTATTGAGATTAATGAAAAAATTATGCAAAAAAGTCTCAATTTCATTTTCCCGTGACAGGGCTTTGCACACATACAGTCAGTCTTGCTTTACACCTGATGATTTATTAAACTAATCTATGGTGATCACCACTGATGTTCTCAACTCAATCTTGTCCGGGCTCATTTTCTAAGTAATTGTTTCTCATTAGTTCTGATAATGTTTTAATAGTGTTGCCCATAATTTAGGCCCCACGAATTAATAACAGGGGGGTGATATGGCAAAGCGGTTTGTGATGAGCTATGCAAAATATAAAAACAGGTATCTTCTTTTGAAATTTAAATTGATCAGATTGACTGCAAAGTCCTCTTTTTGGGGTCTATGCCTAGCACAGAGTTCTCCAGGTTGGCTTTGCTATCATGTTAGGTGGGATCTGTCCCTCGCTCCCTGGGATACCTGTGCCCCACCCCCCAAAGAGATGCAGGCGAGAAAACAGAGGGGAAACTTTATCTCCCAGCATCTTCTTGTCCTGAAGTTTTTATTCTTCAAGGAATGAGGCACAATAGGTATGACTCCCACCAAACCTTTCCAGAGCCCTCCTTAGTCTCTGCTCAGAGTGGGCCCTTGGTCCAGATTTTTGGCTCTCGTGGGTTCCTGTCTCATGCCCTACCATAACCAGGACCAGGGGATTATAAGGAAGATGATGGATTTGAAGCTTGGGGAGACTTAGAGAGCAAGGTGGCTTTGTTTGAACAAAGTGCAGCTTGAGATGAAGGGTGTGGTGACTGTTCCAACATGGCCAAGGGCTGAGGAACCCGTGGGCCTGTTGGTGATGCATGTGGAGACCCTGCTGAGGGGACTGCTTTTCCCAAGATCCAAAGGCCTTCACCCCTGCATCTGAGGTTCCTCACAGGGAGGGCTCGGCTCTCAGGGAGCTCCTGGCGTGAGGAGGTGCCCTGTAGGGTTTGGGGGTTGCTGTGTAACTGGAGTGGACACTAGCACATCTTGCGCTCTCATCCTGTCAGAGCCTGGTGGGGTCATCTGGACCAGCACAGAGGATGGGAAGGGCAGGTGAGTTGGGAGAGGAGTGTTGCCTGTGGGGGAAGTATGAAGGAAGGTTTTATTTTCCTCTTTTGCTTAAGACCAGACCTGCCTACAGTGTTAGCACCCTTCGGGGTAGGGGTGTGTGTGGGTATGTGTTGAGTGTGTGTGAGTGTGAGTGTGTGACAATGACAGGTTAGAATGAGAGGGGGCCTTTGCCTTCTGAGCAGTCCTGTGTCTGTGCTCTGAGTAGAGGGGTCTGACGGTGTGGACACCTATAGTCCTGGGTTACCCTTGTGCACACCGGCTACCAGACCATTAAGAATGGCCGGCTGTTGTTTGTTTACCCTTCCTAGAACTGCAACAACAAGGAGGGGTGGGGACCGCTCCTCCTGTAACTGCCGCCCGCTGCTCCTGTCCGCAGTCCTGAAGCCAGTGAGGCTGGAGGCCCTCTTTCTCCTCACACCCTCTTGCCTGGGAGAGGGTCATCTCCCCTCTTCTTGTCCTGCTCGCTCTGAAGTGTCACAGAGGACCACGGTGAAGCTGACGGTGCTCTCATGAGTGGTTGGAGGGGCAGGCCAGGGCCGCCAGGCACACACCTCCTTGGTTTAATGGGGATATTAGTTGGTTTCTCAAGAACGTGTTTCCACAGAACCGTCCTGCTGGGTCGGGTTCCTCGGGTTTCCCAAGCAAAGCTGTGTGCCCCTTCCCGCTGAGCACTGGTGGTTGGGGTGGCAGGATAACATGTGGGCCTCCCCACTCTGCTTTGGTTCCATGGTGCCTTTCCTTGAGTATAACCTTCAATTCTACTCCCCTCTGGGCTTCCTGTTGGAATGGAAGAGGTAGAGGAAAAGCAGACCCCTGGTTGGGGTACACACTAGGGGCCACGTAGGAAATGAAAAGGACAGAGGAGGAGGTGAAAAATGAAAATAAAAAAAACAAACTGTTTTCTATTTACACATTTAAATAAACAGAACAGCCTTCCCCGCGGTGTTTGTCTAAGAGTGGCAGCCTTGCCGCTGTGTAGGTCATGAAAAGGTTGGTGTAGAGTTTAAAACGTCCCATTCTGTTAATTTCTTAAAGAACAGTCGCCAGAGTCTCGGCACAAAAGCTCATGATTTAATGAGGAGCAGAAACAAAATCTCTGATTGTTGGTGTTTCAAATTTCATTGGCGTCCTCTGGCAAACACAAGTTGATCCTCCGCGGCTTCAATACCCTTTAGCCTTCAATATAAGAGCACACGCTGAATGGGGAAGAATGGCCGGTTGTTATGTTTATTTACCCTTCCTACAAGCTGGGTTAACCTCTTCAAAACAGCTTTCCTAAGCCCGTTAACCACACCACCCATCTGACCCACAGCCGCATCTCTAATGTGATGCAAATCTCGTGGGGCACCATGTGCACCAGCTCGGTGCATTGTGTCCTCGCGGAGGCTACAAGTTTATTGCTGAGGGGCCTGTCCCGGCCGTACATTTACAGGGGAAATGGCCTCAATGGCAAACAGTTAAATGGGAAATAAAGGGGATGGATGGATGGTCCTTTTTCTTTGCATTTATTTTTTAATTGCTGGTAACTGCTGACCCGAAGTATTTGGGCTTTCTTAGTCATGGCCTAGTGGTTCAAGGATTACGGATGTTTCATTTTTTTGGGGGGGGGGGCGGGAGGAGATGGAGTTTAACAGTTGTCAGTTCTGAAGATGTATTTTTAGAGAGAGCTATAGAAACCAAGATGATAAATCAACTTTTCTATGCCATCTCTGTTGTGTTTTTTTTTTATTTTTTTGGTTTTGTTTGTTTTTATCAGATTTCTAGTGAAATGAACACAACCCCTTCCTTCAGTTGTTATTTTTTAAAAGCCTGGCCCATCTTCAAATTATTTACGGGGTCAAGTGACACATGAACACCAGGGGAAGCATCTAAGGTGAGAAGGGTGAAGGGAGTACACCTATTTGGGAAAGACCCGTTTCATTAAAGGCCTAACTTCCCTTTCCAGCCCACCTTTCCCTACTATTTTATCTCCGTGTGAGATCATGAGTCCATAGCCATATCACATTAATGAACAATAAAATCATAAGCTTGGAACCAAAGAGAAGAAGGTTCATTTTCAGAGGAATAACTGGCCAGTGAGATAACGACCACCACGAGAAACTGTGATTAACATGAACTGTAGGTGGGGAAAGGTTCCAATCTGGCATCCTAACAAGTTGCCTCGAGTATTATGGTCTGTCTTTAAGAAACCCACTGTATATGTTCGGCCCACCTGAGGAGAGCTTGATTTAGCAGATCATTTTTCCCTGATGGATGTGGCAAGCGTAACAATGTTCTGGGCCTGCTTCAGTAATGGCATGTCGATCATACTCCCTCGGAAAGTAAAGGCTCCCTGGAAAACAGAGAATGCAAACTTCCTGAGAGAAAGCTTGGAAATTACAGGCTTCTTTAAGGCACAAGAACATTTCAGATTCCACCTGAATTATACTGACTTTCCAACCCAACTTTTGAGAAAGCCAAAGAAAATTACAGGGGAAAGATTTTTTTCCCCTCCCCCTTCTAAAGAGGAAAAAATAATCTTGTAGCATTTTAATGGAGTGGAAAAACATCAGACCCACGGTCTTGGAAACTGTTCATTTAACTCTTGAAATCAAGCAGGAAACAACTGTGGAAGGGAAAGGTAAATATTTCCTTATAGGTTTTGAAATATCGTATAGGACTTTAAAAAGAGTAAAATGCTCTGACGACGGAATACTGTTTGAAGAATAAATGTAGGATCAGGTTAAGTTGCTTCTTGCTATAACATAATTGAGGGGTAACACTACCAGGAGATGAGAATATGTAAGGTAGGATTATTCTGAGTAAAAAGAGATTCCTCTGTTGGCAGACATTTGAAGGACAGGATTAGACTGACAAGGGACATGAGCCTGAAACCAAAAGATCACAGGTCTGATGAATGGCAAGACTGGGAAGAATCTCTGAGATCTGATTTATCCCCATTTTACAGATTCTTTTGTTTAAACCTTCTGGAAATGCTTATTGAATGCATCGTGTGATCTAGGCCCTGTTCTAGATGAGGAAACAGGTGAAGATGATTAGGAAATGTTAGAGCAGGGGCTAATCCTTGGATCTCAGAACTTCAAGCCTTCATCACAGACCCCCCAATTAACAAGATGGTTCTTCAGAAAAAGAAAAACTTAATGGACAGAAGGTAGCATGCCCAGATTGTAAGTTAATGTTTGGATATTTGTGTTCTTTTAGTCACTTCTTTTTGCTCTTTGCCATCACAACTCTTCATCTATATTCATGGCAAGGATGTGTTGTGAGTAGAAAGCAGATGATCTTTTGAGACCTGGAAGTGGACTAGAAAATCAGTCCTAGCTGAGTGATGGCATAGATTGCCATCTACTTCTGGATTTCACAAGTACTACCTGTCAACCGTCAATGCTGTCTTTATGCTTCCTGGACAGGTCTCCTGGGCTCTCTAGAGACCTTCATCTCCCACAATAACACCGAGTTCTACATAGGATGGAGGTAAAATAAAATTGGCAGGGAATCCTTAGCAGCGACTTCAGAATTTATCTTTCAATCAACAGAGAGGCTTAAAAGCTACTAGGATTAGAATTTTCACCAGGACTGACATGCACCACAAACAATGTTTCAGTCAATGACCAGGGTCACATATATGACAGTGGTGCCCTAAGATTGTAATGAAGCTGAAAAATTCCTGTCACCTAGTGATGTCATAGCCATCGTAATACCATAGTGCAGCTACATTACAATCGCCTACAGTATGCAGCACCGTAATATGCTGGACAGGTTTGTAGGCTCTACCACACAGCCTAGGGGTGTAGTGGGCCATACCATCTAGGTTTGTGTAAGTGCTCTCAATGGTATTCGCACAGCAATGGAAGAGCCTAATGACGAATTTCTCAGAAAGCATCCTAATAGTGAAGTGACGCATGGTGTATTGCTTACCCTTCCCAGTCTTGAAATGATAAATCTGATTCATATGAACACCTGCGTGGACTAAAATCCGTCATCTCATACCCTCTTATTTTTCCATTTATACCCCCAGATTGGCCTGTGACTTATTTCATTCAGCCTAGAGCTAATTTTGGTCTGCTCTGTGACTAGGATGAATTTTATGAATTTGGTAGAAGTTCCAAGGATGTGCCGTGCGTTAGCATGAGCCGTGAGATCAGGGTGTGAGTCTCACGCTGTTTTACAAGGCAATAGTCTAGTTTCCTTATTGGAGTAAATGATGAAGACCAAAGGCCTCCTGGGTACCTGCCCACCGAGTGGATTACGGCCTGTAAAACAGCACATCTGTCCTGCGAAGGCTGAAAGAATAGGCCGGCGAGATGACATTAGCATAGATGTACATGAACGCAACACAACGCACAGAGAATCAAAACGACGGCTTTGGGTCTATGCCACGTTCCTGAAATCTGCCCCTGGTCCCACGTGCATATCAAAGAGGCAGAATATCCCACGTAGTGTTTTAAGACAGAAGACCCCATGTCTTTCTCTACAGTGGCAGATTTTGCTTAACTTTCTTTATGAAGCTTAAGCTGGAAAACAAAATCTAACATTTTTATTCTTTGTTCCCTTCATCTCAGCAAATTCAGAATTAGACGCCCACCACGAATATTCTCCTGCTTTCTCACATATCAACCAACAATATGGGTTTTTTTTTTTTTGTGTGTTTTTTTTTTTTAACATGGATCTACCTGTGAAATGTGAATGGGCTATTGGTCAGAATTTAGAAAAATGCAGATTGTCAAAAGCTGCTTGGACCTGTAGGGAGGGCTGGAGACATTCATAAATAAATGGTTACAGGTGAGTTTCAGTTTCATAGCCCCGTGCATTCCTGAGAAAATGGCACACATGCCATTTGCAAAGTAAAGGAACTTCCATCAGCATGGAGATTCAGACTGTCATTTGGTTTAAACAGTAACTCACTCATGGTTAAAGGCCTTAAGAACCATGACTAGAACAATAATAATAGCTATAATTTTTTGAGCAGTTGCTAGCCTAGCACTGGACGTATATTATTTCATGTAATGCTTGTACCAACTGTGTGAGGTAGATCCTATTACCCATCCCCATTGACAATATATATTTTTTTCTATTTCTTTTTAATTGTGGTAAAAACATAACCTAAAATTTACCATTTCGACCATTTGTAAGTGTGCAGTTCAGTAGTATTAAGCATATTCACATTGTGTAATCAATTTCCAGAACCTTTTCATCTTGCAAAGGTAAAACTTGGTCAGTTCCTATTAAACAACTCCCCAGTTCTCCTTCCCTAGCCTCTAGCCATCACCGCCTACTTTCTGTTTCTACAAATTTCTAGTCATCCCTATTTTATCGCTGAGGAAACTGAGGCACAAAGAACTGAAGGAACTTGTACCTGTCTGCCCTCTGGCTAGTAGATGCAGCAGTGGGGAAATCCTGGCTATCTCGTGCCCCTGGCTTACACCCTGGGCCTGTTGACTGAGAAGTGTTCTCTGGGTGAGTTCCCTGACCACCTGAGTCAGAATCACCAAAGGGGGAGGGCCGCTTGTTAAAATGCAGACTCTCAGGCTGGACCCCATAATGTTTGATGCAGAAGGCCTGCAGGTTGGCAGGAATTCTCTGATGACTCTAATGCATGTTTGAATTTGAGAAGTTCTGTGTTTTAGGTCCCCTGAGTAGAAATGGTTAGGTCGGCTTTGAAATGGATACAACTCCATCCCTGCCCTCCAGTTGCTTACAGTTTGCTGGAGGAGACAAGGAAGAAAGCAGCAGGTACAATACAAAGCAGTAGAGTGAGAGGAAAAGGCAATATGATGAGCACAGCGCGATGGAAATGGCTGCCCTTCCCCATCAGTATCGTTGCTGCCAGTTGCACAGTTCACTTAGATGTGATGTCATGTACCTACAGCGAGCCAGGCATTCCCCATTAGAGTTGCCATGAGCTCCTTGCGCAATGGACTTTTATGCTACAATTCCTATCGAGTTACTTGTGACAAATGACTGATCAATTGCTTTGGCACATTTTACTTCATATAGGCCTGTGGCTTCAGTCTCCCGGACGTGAAGGGCGCTATCACTTTAGAATGAGCCTGGTGGCAAGCTCGGCATCGAAATCACATCAACATGGTTAGACCCGGAAGTTCTTCATGGCAGGGAGAATCTGACAAATTAAAAAATTATAACTTGATTGCAAAAGTATCAATGAGGGTGGTGGTGATGACAACAGTAAACATGTCTATGGGAAAATATTCATATTTTGCATTTATGGCGCTTCGTACTTGAGATATTTTTTTCTTTAGAGTATTCAAATAATAATGTTTTAGAAACCATAAGTTGATCTAACTTTTTTGGGCATTCCAGGTATTCTCTCTGGCACTGTGAGGGGGATTTCTGTCAGCTTTAATACAGCATTTGAGCACAGCTGTTCCAGTCCCTTCTTCTTCAGGGTGACACTCTTCCTCTGTGACACTAAGTCTTACACCCGGCAAATTAATTATTTACCTCGCAGCAGTTCCCAGGGGATTCCTAAAACTATTAGTCAGCGTTGGCCATTATCAAATTTCTCTACAAGATCTTGGTTGTGTCTCTACCTGCTACATCCTCTCAGCCCAGCCACGACCTCCTGTGATACAGCTTCCCTATGCACAGAGCCACATGCTCCACGATGCTCTCCACAATGGGCAGAGAAGATGCTCTGGCTGACACTGTTTCATTCTCATTCTTCCTTTCCAATTTTTGCACCTTGGAGAGTCCTTGGACAGGTCCTAGGACGGCCGTGGTCCCCTCACAATTTGGCTATGACGCTCCTTTTAAGGATGTGAGGTTGGCTGCTTGTTACTCAAAGCTCAGGGCTAAGCTTTTGGCTCCCAGGCTGGGGAGAGCTCACTGGGAGAGTGCTGGACGCTTAACAGGGGAGTCACCCCTTCCTAACTGGGATCATGCTGTAGTTTTTATAAAACATCAGGTCGGATCTCCATTTGCTTAAACCTTGCTTTGGCTCACTTTGGACTTACAGAATCAAATGCAATGCTCCTCCGACCAGGACAGGCCCTGCCTCTGCTCTTGGCCTCGTCCCCTGCCAGTGCAGCCACACACACACACACACACACACACACACACACACACACACGCACATGCACACCTCGGTACCTCTCGCACACACTCTTCTCTGCTCTGAAGGCCCTTTCCATGTCTATCTGGCAAATTTCTGGTGCTTCGAGGCACAGAAATGTCACAAGCATCTCTAGATTTCCTTATAGGGCTAATCCCACGCCTTCCTTCCCTTAGGCAGCCTCCCTGTATAGCCCGCGTCACACCCTTTTGTAATTACCTGTTTTCATTGTTACCTTTCGTGCGTTTTCTTGAGGGGAG